CTTTCTTTCTTTCTTTCTTTCCTTCCTTCTATATATAAATAGTTGAAATGAATGAAACAAAAATATAATTCATCACCTAAATAATTTCTTGGACCTGAAAAAAAAATAAAAGCTTGCTTTCTAAGGTCAGAGGGCCTTGATCACTTTCGTTTCTGGGTGTCATGTGAATCTTCACACACAGGGCAGTGGGCATGCATCCAACTTGGGCTGTTATATATATATATATTTTTATACATACTTGTTAATCAGAATCTCCTTTGGGTTCTGTTTCTATAAATCAACTTTTCAGTGAAGTATTCCCTTACTGGCTTTTAAGAACAGCTTTAGTACTTCCTGATTCTTTCCCTCTGCTTCTCCCACCGTCATAAAACTTAATGGTTTTAAATTTCCTGCTTTATTTTATTGAAAATATAAAACTCATTTTAGTCTATCCAAGTATATATGTATGTTAGGTACTTAGTAATCCTAGTAATAGTTTGAAAAGAAATTTCACTTAGCACTGCTAAGATTTGGAACTTGGAACTCTTTTTTTTTCCTTCATCTCACTTATCAAGTCTGCATTGTCCCTACCTCACTGAAATGTGTTGTCATGAAGGGTCGCTGATATATAGTCCTCTTTTGTCTTTGTCTCATTCTGATCCCCTTGGGCATTCACAGCAGATATGTTTTTACTTGAACTGTAATTATTCGCCTTCTGGTTCCTAAGTCGTTTTAGTTGTTTTAAGATACCAGATTGGCTTTACCAGCTGGATATGGAGGTATAGAACCTAGTTTGATTCATAAGTTTCTGTCATTTGTGAGTGATGGAAGCCATGATAAGAGAGTGATGAAGTTACAAATAGGTTTATCCAAAAAGGTACTGCAAGTGGCCCGTTAAGACAGTGGGAAGGCTCTTGTCAGCATGTCATGTGGTGGGTTCTCATTAAGGACTTTCTTAAACCAGAATGCTGAATGCCAGTCAAATGTAGCCATGCCAGGGAGGGACTGCAGAGTGCTGATAAAACTATCTGTTTGAATTGTATTCTCTTTAATAGATAGTAGACTTATTAATACTTAATAAGTATTGATGGGTATAGTTGATCAAAGTATTTAAATGTGTGTATCAGTGGTGCTTTACTAAGTTAGTACAATGAACACATTATTTTTTATTTTTTATTTATCATTTTTTTTAGATTAGGAGGCTGAGGCCCAGAAGACAGCATTGTTATTTGAATTCTAGCAGATTGGTTTCAGGACTTGGAAGTTTATTGTGTGTATTATGTCGTCCACTTTTTACTTTTTTGACTATCCAAAACAGTGCCACTGTCCCTAGTAGTATGTGATGTTTCTAAAGTAATGCAGGTAGTGTTGTAATACCTTTGTACACCCTAACTTGAGGAGTTGTCCCTCCAGGCGGTGGATTGTGGGATTGTTAGACCTGAGGAAGCACAGGCAGGACTAACAGCTAGATTGACAGAATGCACAAATCTAACTATAAAATGTGTGCTCTTCACCACGAGACTTGATGGCATCGTTTCAGATTGGATATGTAGTTTTTGGATTACTCATTCTTCTTTTCGGTACTGAGTATTTCTTTGAAAAAGTATTAGTCAGTTTTGCCTCCCTGTAGCTTATTCTTGTCTTAGTTGAGAGCAAGCAGTGACTTAAAGAGAAAGCTTTTATTTTGGCTTTCTGCTTCAGAGGTGTCAATCCAGTATGGTGGGGACTAGAGAGTGGAGTAGAGCAATATCAAGTTAAACAAGAGGCAAGCATGAGTGGACTGGAAATGGTCAGGGCATGATGTATCTATTCCCCAAAGGTTTAAAGTGTCTAGAACCTCAGGTATCATTCCTGCAGCTGGAGACCTGGACTTTAGCACATGAACAATGGCGAATGTTTCATATTTAAATAATAACAAGAAGCTTGACTTTGTCATCCACGCCCTCTAAAAACTACAGCAGTTTGACCATGACCTTCCTGTTGACTTCCTGGAAGATACAGCATCATTTAAATCTTTGGATTTTATGTATATGAGCCCACTCACCTTTTAAAAATAGAATGTACTGTTTTTGTTCTATTTTGTTGTTTTTTGTTGTTGTTGTTCTATTTTCTGTTCGTGTTTTTAAATGTCTTCCCACTGCTTTTTATTGGTATTGGTTTATTTATAATCCTTTATAACTAATTTTTGTTTTCGTAGTTGCATTTCCTTTCATATGGTTTGTCAGTGGTTTTAGTGTGTGTTGGTTTGAATGAAAATGGTCCTAATAGGCTCATAGGAAGTGGCACTGCTGGGAAGTGTGGCCTTGTTGGAATTGGTGTAGTATTGTTGGAAGAAGTATGTCACTGGGATTGGGCTTGGAGGTTTCAGATGTGTGTCCAGTGTGGCACTCTCTTCTTGCTGTTTGCCTATTTGGATGTAGAACTTTGAGCTACCTCAACAATACCATGTCTGTTTTCTGCTTTAATGACAATAGACTAAACCTCTGAACTGGAAGCCAGCCCCAGTTAAATGTGTTCCTTTATAAGAGCTGTGGTGGTCATGGTGTCTCTTCATAGCAGAAGAACACTGACTAAGACATTGTGTGACTCTTTTTTATCTCTGATGGCTTCCTGTTCTTTGTTATACTCAGGTTTGTCTTTGATCTCTTGTATTGATGTGTGCTATATTGTATAAAGTCTCTGTCTTTGCTAGGAATTCTTACTGTTTAGTGAGAGTTGTTTTATTGAGTAATGTTAAGTTGTGGAGATGCTCACAGTCAGAATTTTTATATGTTCTATGCTAACTTCCTGGTGAGTTTTCTTTCACTACCTTCTTTGCTCTTGGCTGGTTTTTCAGTATTTGACTATTTTGAGTTATTTCTGTGCTAGTTATTTGTCTAGAGTCATATATAGGTCCAGATCATGAAGAAATAGCCATTCTTTTTATTATACATAGGAGTCAAGTTACATGTAAATTCTTCTAGGTTTTATTGGTGTTTATGTAACAGAGATCAGAAACATAATTACTTACAAAATTGATTACTATGCCACAACACTCCCCAAACACTGTGTGTGTGTGTGTCTGTGTGTGTTTGTATAAATTGGACTTGAAAATTGAAGTCATCATGCATACACCCTATTTCTGTTTTTACATAAGAGATACAAACTTTCCTTTCAGTATGTATGTACCACTTATTTTGAAGAACCAGCTGGGGTCTGTAGGTCATGCATATTGACATTTTCCTAGCTGACTTTTTTCTTGGTTTTATTAAAGGCAAGGTTGCTTTTGTTTTTGTTGTTTAGAGACATTCATAATTTTTGTCATTTTATTTCTAGGTATTTTAGTGATGGGACTGTCTTTGCACACTATGCAGATGTCGTGGGTCTTCTGCTTAGATTGCGGCAGATTTGTTGCCATACCCATCTTCTTACAGAAGGATTGTCTTCAAGTGACCCCTCCAGTAAGGATATGGGATTAGTTCATACCATTGTATTTGCTAAATATTTCAATTAGAAGAACGGGTTTTTATACAACTTGAATTTGGTCAATGACTTTGCTATACCTTGCTTTAATTAAGATTTATTTAAAATTACATTTTTATTCTATGTGTGTGTATATGAATAACGTGGGTTCATGGATCCGTGTGGGAGATTAGAGCATAACTTGCAAGAGTCAGTTCTTTCTGCACCATGTTAATTCTGGAAATTGAATTCGTGTTGTCAAGCATGGTGGCAGGTGTCCTTACTTGCTGAGCTATCTTACTGGCTCCAAGAATTTTTTTATGAATGAAATCTTACTGGCTCCAAGAATTTTTTATGAATGAAATGGAAGTACGATATCAATGTAGAAGAACATTCAAACTGGTTCTCTCTTGTATGCTGCTAGTGTGGCAGATGTTATTTTATGACATGCTTAACTGAGATGACTATTGCGTCTTCAGAGGTTTTCTTAGAATTCCACATTTATGGCATGCTTTTTGCAAATGCCAGGATAAAGATGGAAGACAATTAAGCAGAGTTTCCTTATATAAGATAAACTATTCTAGTCACATTACAAACTTTGTTCTGAAACTAATTTTTGAGCGTCCTTTTTTTTTCTAGGAAGTGATACACCTGAAGAACTGAGAAAGATGTTAATAGAGAAGATGAAGTTAATTCTGAGATCTGGTTCAGATGAAGAATGTGCAATTTGCCTGGATTCATTAAAACTTCCTGTGATAACACATTGTGCACATGTGTTTTGTAGACCTTGTATTTGCCAGGTCATTCAGTGTGAGCAGGTTAGTTTGTTGTTCAGTATGGAGTCAGTGTTTGATGGAGTGATTTACCTTTCTTTGGTATAATAAAAACCCAACTAAGTTCCAGAGATGATAGGGTGTTCCATTCTTGAATTTAATAATATACCCTTTATGGTTAATTATTTCAGCATTGTAATAGGCAATGTATTTATTATTAATTAAACAGCACTACTTTTTGGAGACATTATGTTTTAGTAATTCTAGTTCTAAATTTCAGATCCTTGTGTTCAATTAAATATATTAATAGAGACACAATGAATTTAAATTTTATAGTAGCCATATTTTTTAAAAAGTAAAAAAGCAACATGTTTAATGTAGTCTAATATATTTAAGGCACTTATATATAACTTTTTTTTCTTAAACTAAGATTAAAAATCTGATGGTATTCTACTTTTTATCACCCTAATCTGGCTCAGCTGTGTCTCAGTGATGCTCTATCTGATTAACACATACAGCTCATTACTGTGTTGAATGAAGTAGGGTAAACTAGGGCTAGATTCTTTTGTGGAAAATGTTGAATAATATTTTAAACAATCTGCCAGCTAATGCAAATTCAAAATAGTCTTAAATGCTGTATACTATATATGTGGGGCAATGCCCAACTTACACTTACAGGCTTGATTATGAAGTAACCCTAGCTGTATGAAGTACTATCTTGGTCCTTTGTATAGATTTTTAATGTAGTTTTATTTTTAGTATGTTTTTCTTGCAATGATATTGAGTATCTAGTTAAGGTACAATATCACTTTGTTCGATCCTGCTTTGAACGAACCTGTCGTATTTGAGAGATACGGATTTCTCACGCTGTTATAAGCTTTATAAAGTATAAGTGGTTCTCAACCTGCCTAATGCTGCAAACCTTTAATTCAGTTCCTCATGTTGTGCTGACCCCCAGCCATAAAATTATTTTGCAGCTACTTCATAAGTGCAGTTTTGCTAGTTACGAATATTAATATAAATATCTAAAATGTAACCTCTCCAAGGGGTCATGAGCCACAAGGTGACAACCACTACACTAAGACATTGCTTTCTTCTTTTGAAGTGTTCTATGTGTTTTTACTGTATTATAGTTAAGGGCAAGAAATTGTCACCTTTTACTTAGTAGCAGATGATACTCAGTGTTCTGAGCTTCTGCATTTAGTCAGGATTACACTCGTTTCTCTGTCCTTTACAACATGTTGTAAACATGTCTCTTACAACATGAGGACATGTTTGTATGTTTGGAGTTCAGGTAAAGTCAAGTAAATGAATATGACAAAAAGCATGAATAAAATAAGGAGTGTAGAACTTTCTATTCATGACAAAAAGTTTAGGTAAATTTATATTTCTGTTATATAAGTGTGGCTCATTCTTTGTTCTTTTGTATATAGCCACATGCAAGGTGTCCTTTATGCAGAACTAAAATACATGGAGATAATTTACTAGAATGTCCTCCAGAAGAATTGGCCTGTGACAGTGACAAAAAGTCCAACATGGAATGGTCGTCCAGCTCAAAGGTAAAAGTCCGTATGTGTAAATACTCTATAATGTTTTATATTTAATGAGTAAATGTCATAATAAAGTAATAATTCCAATTCTGCTTTTAATTCTGTCATTTCGTATTCTTTTAGTTGTACTGGCTTTTGTTTATATTTAATGTTGAATTTCAGTTGGAAAAGGAAGGTATTTGAATTATTATGAGTTTTTTTTTCAGTATTTTGCTTTCATTTTTGCCTTTTAGTTAAATTATATGAAACCTTCTCAATAAAAAACGTTGGAGATTTGTTCAATGAATCTTGCATTATGTGAACCCTATTAAAGTTAGTTTGTGCAAACAAATTGTTAAAAACTAGAGTGCCTGGACTTACCTTAACAATTTAGATGGAGTCTAATGAATACAATATTTACTTTTTTTCAGATTAATGCTCTAATCCATGCTTTGATTGAATTACGGACAGAAAACCCCAACATAAAATGTTTGGTTGTTTCTCAGTTTGCCTCATTCCTGACTTTAATAGAAAGAGCACTTGAGTAAGTTTAACAAGCACTTTTACTTCACACAGAAGGATTTTGTACATGTGTGTTGTGTGATAGCCCTACTTAATGTTTTAATGTTTTACCAGTTTAGTCACTTTGTCTATTTAAAATGATATTCAGTGTAACAACAGAACTTCTCCTGAGCATAAGATTTTAAAATTAAGTCTAAATTAGTCAGGAAATAATTGAGTTAGTACCTGGCAGATGGCTAGATGCTCAGTAGACATTTGCTTTACCAAGAAATGAATTATTGAATGAATGTGTAGTTCACTCAGAAGCTGTTTACTTAGCTTGTGCAAGCCCTTGGGTTTGACTGATCCTTAGTATCACAGGAATAAATTATGAGTGAATTTGGTTTAACTAATATTTGTTAACTATTTAATATTTCTCATAGTATATTACCTGTTTTCTTTTTCCCGTTAGAGCCTCAGGATTTCTGTTTGTTCGCTTAGATGGTTCCACAATTCAAAATAAAATAGCTGAATCAAATCGTTTTAAAGCCACAGAACCAGGATCTCCTAATATAATGCTGCTGTCCTTAAAAGCAGGTGAACTCGGCTTGCATCTCTCTACAGCTTCTCGTGTGTTCTTAATGGATCCAGTAAGTCCTTACATAGAGTTTTCAAAATGTTATTACAACAAAACAAAACAGGAAAAGAAACAAAACCTGTTGGAGAGATGCCTTTTTAGTTACAGTTGTGGAAAGGTAACATCCTTATTTGCAGATGAGGAAACTGGTACACAGAAAAGTAAACTGTTCCCACATTCACACAGTAATCTGTAAAACTAGTCAGGTTCTGTGTTTTTATGTACGGTTCTGTGCATTTCAACTCTTTTGAATACATAAAACATGACTATTGTAATGCTTTTAAGATTCAGTTAACAGCAAATCAATGAGCTCTCAACTTTGTGTTGTATGATCAAGGCATTGGGAATGTGATTATAAATCAGATATTGGCTCTTGTCATGGTCATACCTCATATTTGCCTAAATATTTGGTCAAATACATATTTAAGCCTGCCTCTTGAGATCTAGAAGTTCCTGAAGAAGACCTAAAAAGTACATTTTAGGGATGCATTCTAGTTGATTCAGGCTCAGTTGTCCATGAATATAATATTCTTGATAAGTTTCCCTGGCTGATAGCATGTACTTAATGTGGTTGTGTAATAAAGTCTCTAGAGATAATTTGGATTTCTGGTAGCTATACTAGATATATATTGTTCGCTTATTGTTCCTAGATACAGTACAGGCAATAGAAAAAATTGATTTCATCTACTGGTATCATAATTTTAAAATATCTGTGAAATACAAGTAATTCAAAAGATTTTTAGAAAACTGTAAGCTGATATTGCCTGAAGTCAGTCTCCTCTACTAGAAAACATATAACTTGAGTCATCAGCAAATTAATAGCTAAGTATTCCTTTTCTTAGACCTCGGGGTCATTCAGAAGAGAATAACAGCTTAAGCCTGACTACTATTGTAAATCTCATCTGCATATGAGTTATAATTGTGTCTATTTTCAGCTAGTACTTGCTGTGTAAATATATTTTTACCCCGAATACTGTTTTCAGGTGTGTATGTGTGTGTATGAATGTTTGTGTCTGTATAAGTGAGTATGTAGACCAGAAAAGGACACTGGCTGTCTTTCTCTGTTGCTTTCCACGTTACTCTGTCAAGACAGGGTCTGTTACTTGAACCTGGACCTTGCCATTTTGTCCAGGCTTGCTGGCAAGCTGTCTCCTAGAATCCACTTGTCTCTATCCCCCAACACTGATACAAACACATGGGATCATGCACAGATTCTGGGTTGGTGGTAGGGATTTCAAACCCAGGTCTCAGGTTTCTACAGCAAGTTCTCATTCCACTGAGCCACTTCTAGCTCTTGCTAAAATCTTCAAATTTAGCTTTTTTGTAACTTTTGTTACTTATCGATGTTTATGTGTATCTGTCTGCAGTGTGCTCAGGAGATGCCTGAGGAATCCAAGCAGAGAGCTTCAGATACCCTGAAGCTGGTGTTTCCTGGTGCTTGTGAAATGCCTGAATGGGGTGCTGAGAACTGAATTCTAAATCTCATGAAATGTCCAGGGTGTTGAGGAGCCAATACAAGGATGGCTGTCCACTGCTCCCATGAGCAGACAGCAGGGAACTGGACAAAGGGACAGTGCTTATATAGGATTTCTGAGGGTGTGGGGCTTCTCAGGGCAGGGATTTCCAAAGTGAGTATTGTTAGTGGGATTTTGAGTCCTGAGCTTGAGGGAGCTCAGGGATTGATGTGTTTTTTTCTGTTCAGAGATTGGTGACTTTTGTTCATCTCCCCCCTTCTCTGTATTGGGCCCATATGGTGGGAAGTCCTTCTCCACTGAAGCCAGCTTTTGCTGAGGCACCATGTCTGTGGGGCTTCTGGGTGGGGGTGAGGCTGGAGAGGAGGAACTGCCACTGTGGACAGCTCCTATGGACTAGCTCCTACAGTGGCATTACACTAAAGCTGTAGGCTGAGGCAGGAAAGGCTTTGCCACCGCGGACAGCTCCTCATGCTGATTGTAGGTTGCTTCAGGAAAGCTGTTGGCACTGTGAAAAGCTCCTGAGGGGTAGCTCCCACTGACACTGGAAAGGCTGTATATCACCATGGACAGCTCCTGCAGCTCCTGTGAGGGCTTTAGGCTGAGAAGCTATTCCACCATTTAGACAGGAGCTATCATTTTGGACATCTCCTGTGGGACATTTTACTGCAGACAGTCATAGGCTAGGACAGAAGGCAGAGCCAGCTTTTGTGAGGTAGTGGGTTTTGTGGTATGCTGCTCAGGGACTGCAGATATAAGCATGTATGTATATGTGTATACAAATACAACCTATATAATGTCATTTGCGGGTATGTTTTCAGGGCTGACCATTTGGTATTGGATAACCAGTTGGTGTGCTCTTTGAGGAAGACTATTTCTCCCACTCTCAGCATTCCTTAGTGGGCTGTAGTTCATTGTGTCTGCTTGGAGCACCTTGGGGCTTTCCTCATACACATTAGCATGTCAGAAGCTAAAGTCTCACCAACATTGTCTGTGTAAACATTGAACAAGGATGACAGCAATAGATACGCTATCATTTTGAAGCCGTTTGGCTGTTCCTGAGAAACTCTGTAGCTTGGTGTTCTTTTGCTGTATCACATCATTTTCTTGAGCTTAAGGTAGAACTTAGGTACTTTTAAAGTACAAGTTTTTCAAATCCAGCTGATTTCAAACAAACACATATGGTTGTATCGACAAGTCTAAAACAGCCTTTAGGACTTTTGGCTACTATTGAAACTGTTTTGTAGTTTATCAATAGGGAAAAGCAGGAAATATATCAAGAAAACAAATGCTCAGCAAAAGAGGAGAAACTTTCTCATATGGGGGCACAAGAATGACATCGTTTGTGTGGTCATTTAAACCACCGGAGAAGGTTTCTGACCAATGGGCAGGTCTTAGGTTGTTTCTGCCGCACCTCTCAGGCTTTTGTTGGGCACAGGTTGGACATGCCTATCTGAGATGCCCTAAAATTTACATCTGTTTGAGTACTGTCACAAACTTCAGAAAGTTTTGGATGTTTGGTTTTGGATTATGGATCTATGCAAACATTCCAGAATCTGAAAAATTGAACTTTAAATCACACAGGTCCTAAACATTTTAGGTAAGATTCTCAGCCACTTTTAAAGTGGGTAGAATGCAGTCTATGGGGAAAAGCTGGCAATCTTCATAGTGCTGGAGAAATAGCTTTCTTCCAGGTACGTTTGCAATATCAGTGTTTGAATTTCATTAGAGAAGGAGGCATCTAGATATACTGCGATGAAGGACTAGTGCAGAAATGTGCACAGTAGAGCAGTAGTAATGCAGTTATGTCCTTCTTAGGCCTGGAATCCTGCTGCAGAAGATCAGTACTTTGAACGGGGCCATCAACTGGGCCAGACACAAGAGATTATCATCACAAAAGTGAGTTTTTAAAGTTACTTAAGGTTGTTTGCTTTTTAAAAACAACACAGGCAATGTATGAATACATTACTGCCATAATTGAAATAGAATGTGGAGAAAATGTAAAATTTGTTTTGTCTCCTTTGTAGTTTCATTTTCAAAGATTTTTTTCCTCTGTAGTTACATATGGTTTTATTCATGTATATATCTCAACATGAAAAATTGAAAGAAAACGATCTTTGGGAACTTGGAATTGTTATTAAATGACTTCCAGTTGACTTCAGTGTAGACTATGTAGTGCTCCTGGGAGCACTGTTCACGGTTAGAATGTATCTAGCCTATGGAAGGTCTTGAGTTTGATCCCCAGCATTATAAAACAAAAAGCAAATATTTTATGTGTATGCAATGGTGTAAATGTATGTGATCCGAAGTGAGTGAGCATGCATCAGTTTGCATTTACCTTGAAAAAAAATAGGCCTTAAATATAGTTCGTATGTCTGCTGCTTGTGGTTTTATTTTCCTGCAGTGAACTACATGTTCATTTCTTCTTTGCTTTTGCTTGTAGTGCAAAGAAAGTCTTATAGCATCAAGGACTTTATTTTTCATTTTGATTTTAGTTGTGTGTTGAAAATGGTTTATCCCCAGCTCTTATCTGTAAACTTTCTGAGCCTTTTTGTCAAGAGATTTTAAAGTTCAATGATTTCAGATGTGTTCTATTTTTATTTAAATATGTTGTTCTAACACCTTTTTTTTTTTTCTGTAGTTACAGAGCAGTGAGCATTATGAGAACCCTTTACCTTTTAAGATATCAAAGCATTCTTTATTAGTTTTTAATGTCTTAGTACTTGTGGCCTTATTTGCGTTGTAAAAAGGTCAGTCTGTATGATCCTTCTGGAAGATACTGTGTTTTGTGAAATGTTCCTACATTTATTCCTTTTTCAAATGAAGAGGCTATTGTTCTGTGACCTTTTGTGTTTTTGGAGTTTGTTTTGCTTTGAAAAAGTTCATAGTCTTTTCTACTAGTAGCAACTGTGTATATGGGTCTATTTCTAGTCCATTCACTTGTTCTCGTTCCTTGATGTCTTCTGTTCTCAGAATAATACTTTATAATTATGATTTTTTTTTTTTACAAAGTATGTTTATGTTGGGAACTGAAGAGATGGCTCAGCAGTTAAGAGTGCTTACAACTGTTTTAGACACCAAACCTTGGTTCACATCACGGGTGCTGTTTCTCAAGCACCATGTACTTTCTTTAGAGTTGGGGTTTTGCAATAGGTTAGGCTGGCCAGCCAGTGAATCCTAGATATTTGCATGCCTCAACCTCCCCAGCACTGCTTTATAGAAGCATATTGAACAATGCTTGGCTTTTTAAATGCAGCTTCTGCAGCTTGACTTAGGTTCTACTGATTGAGACTACAAAGTATGTTTAGATATCTGATAAAATGTTCTCATTAATGTTCATTTTGAAATTTTTATTAGTTAATCACTATTGCTGTTGGAAATTTGAATCTATGCCATTATATCTTTGTGGAATATTGCTCAGGATTTACTAAATTTATAATTCCTTTGATAACTGTCATGTTTGGCAATAAGAAGTGTTTCTGTACAAAAACATAGTAAATTGTGTATCTAGTTTTTAAAATATTTCAGTAAAGTTCTGCAATATAGCTTTTGTTGTTATTGCAGAAACAAGGATATTTTAGCATTTACTAGAAATACTTTATTATTTCACATTAAATGATTTCCTAAGAAGTGTCTAGTAGAGATCATGAATAAAATTTGGATGTGTCTTTTATTCCTAGGTGAGGACTTTGTTATTACTTTTCAAGATTCTTATCAGAAATGTTGAATTTATCAAGAGTTTCTTAATCTGTTGCCACATTGATATGTACCTTCTTATGTACATAGACTCTCATTTGTGGGAACTTCATTTGACTCTTTATAAGACTGAGTTCATTTTGCTAATAGTCTAGCTACAGGGATACCTATATAATTTGTGTTTGTCGTTCTCGTGTGATGATTGTGAGGAGTGTGTAAGTTCTCTGCTGAAATGGGAGTATTTTGAAAAGTCGGTGTAGTCCAGCTAACTACCTGAACCACCCGCCATGTTCCCACACTAGAAGCGCCAGAAGTTAAGAGCACCCCACGAGATGTTACTGTGGCAGCTGGTTCTGCTGATCAGCTCCATAGAGACCATGGCCCAAAGCATGGATCTTGGGCCAATGCTGTCACCCTCATGGTTCTCTGCTAAGCTGCAGACATTACCCGCCATGCTTGCAGTTCCCGGTAGAATGAAGACTCTTAATGCTTAAAGATTATCCAATGGATTTATATATCAACAAATACTTAATACATAAGATGCTCAACCAATTAGAATTATTATCCAATATCTAACCTTTTGATAGAAATTGTTACCCAGAACTGCTAGAGATCCATGGTTCTTCCTCCATGTTGCTTCCTCTCTCCCTTCTTTCCTCCTCCTCTTCCTTTTCCTCCCAACTCCTCACTCTGCCTACATCTTCTAATGCCCAATCACCAAGCTCCACTGCAAATACAATGTATCAGGAAAATATCCTGCTACACTATGCTTCCAGCCATAATCTTTGTATGAGAAAATGACATTGGGTGAGAAAGGGGAGTCATGTTTAACTGTGTATATCCTCACTGCATGTTGAGAAAAGGAAATTAAATTATATGCATACACACAAATATGTATGTATAAGTAATCATTTCACTTTTAAAATGTGGGTACACCTGAAATAGAAGTCCTTTTAAAGGCGCGTGTGTTACTGTTTCACCATGCCTCCGGTGTTTTCTTTCTTACTTTAGTGTGCAGTGTTATTAGCATGTTCATCCTTTGTGTGGCTTAGGAAAAGGCAGTTATTTAGTAAAGGTTTCTTAAAAGCATTAAAAAACTTCATTTTGTTACCTGAAAAGTTCTTAACCATTATTTTAAATTTAACTTTTAACTTATTTTTTTTTCTTTTTGAAGTTCATTGTGAAGGATTCTGTTGAAGAAAATATGTTGAAAATACAAAACGCGAAAAGAGAGCTTGGAGCCTTTGGAATGAAGAAAATAAACTCCAGCGAATTGAAACAAGCTAAAATCAATGAAATCAAAACTTTAATTGATCTGTAATTTGTCGGGGTTTTCTAAGATCAGTTTAAACAGATACTTAAGTTTTACAGATGAAAAATACAGATTTAAGAATGAGATCTAGGGCTGGAGCGATAGCTCAGTGGTTAAGAGCACGAGGTCCTGAGTTCAAGTCTCAGCAACCACATAGTGGCTCACAACCATCTGTAATGGGGTCTGATGCCCTCTTCTGGTGTGTCTGAAAACAGCTACAGTGTACTCACATACAGTAAATAAATAGAATAGAATAGAATAGAATAGAATAGAATAGAATAGAATAGAATAGAAT